CTGCTGCTGCTGCTGCTGCTGTGAAAGCACCACCAGCACCAGCACCACAACCAGCACCAGCACCAGAACCAGCACCAGCAGCAGCACCAGCAGCAGCAGCAGCAGCAGCAGCAGCAGCAGCAGCAAAGTTTCCGTATTTTTGCAAATCAAAGCTCGTTTGACGCAGCGTCCCATGTGGCAGCCATTGCTGACATAGGCATAGATGTGATTTGCACAGTGGCGGTTGCTTTTTTTCGTTGTCGTTGATGTTGTTGTGGGCTTGTGAGATCTATATTGACAATCATCACGCACTGACACCAATCCCAATACACTGAGTGTGATATTTGCTCCAGGGGCTATGTCCCTGAGAAGCTTCGTTTTGTTCATGAAGGCCCCAATTACTTACCTCCAATTCCCCCACTTGCCTACAACGCCCAATCGCCCAATTCCTCAAGCCTTTACCTACGGCCACCCCTCAATCCCAAGTAGCAGGCGGTGAGCCTGCTGCTTGATGCGGGCTGTTTGCCCGACACGCTGGATCGCTACCTGCCTGTGGAATTTGTTGGAACTGCAGCTGCGGCTTAACGGTTAGGGGTGCGTAAAGGTGCGCTCAGGTCCCTTTAAAGGGGGCGTTAGGGATGTAGAGTACATGGGTGTGGTGTATAGGGTTGAGGGGATTAACTTAAGGACTTCCCCGTGAATTGAGGAACCATAGGGCTCAAAAGCAGGGAATCTCCAGATGTTGAAGCCTTCCTTTAGCTGGAGCCTCTCTGCTGCCAATTGCTTCTCATGTTCTCAGAGTTAGAGCTGCAGCTAAAGTGGGGCTTCGTATGCCACAGGTCAGTTGGCGAATTGCTGTATAGTAGAGATGAGCATGTACGTGCTCATGACCACAGCACATATCAGTGGAAGTCGTCTTCATGCTCATCAAAGTGATGACATACATAAGAACATCAGGGCATGTAACAACAGCCGCACGGACAACACTAAATGTGCGTTTCTTACCACTTGATGAGCCTCTGACGCAAGGCTTTGGGCGCAGTCCACTTTACTACGCCGCTGCTGCAAACCACCGCGATGTGGTGGCAGCTCGATAAGTCATGGGGGAATTTTCCAGCAACCCTCAGCAGGATTTGGATTAACGCTTGAAGACGGTTGTGGTTGCATACCTTTGCCTTAGTGCAGCAAGGCAAGTGAGCTACGACGACAGGGAACACGTGATTTTGTTGGTGCTCGAAGATCGTAATGACATCGCATGCGCAAAGTTGTTGCTTGAAAGGCGCTTCTCACTGATCGAGGGCATGCAGATCAAAGTATCCTTTTCCACGCCCTAAAGGACGGAATAGCTGCATTCACAGGGGCTTTAGAACTTTAGCACGCCAAACTCATCAACAACTGCAGGGAGGTTTTGAGGATTTTCTTGTCTGGAGTGTCCTCGAAAACTTTCCAGTATTCTGGGGTTCTGTAAAGTAATTGCCTCACATCTACGCGCTTGACCAGGAGAAGTTCGGTACACACAACTTTGTCCTGCATGATTGGCCGGAGTACAACGGCTGCTGGATGTCGCAGGGGATCCCAGCCAGCAAGCTTTTTATTGTTTATGTTGGGTTCGGCCCCCACTTAATGGTGGTATACTAGCAGCACATGTATATATATACACATACATATATATATATATCTATGTATGTATGCATGCATGTATGTCTGTATGTATG